GAAGCTTCTTGTGAGGGGGGAGGGTGTAACACCCCGTGTTACGGACTTTAATCCCGGATTAATTATTTAATTAATTCTGTTAATAATAATTAAAAATAATTTAATTTTGTTAGGACTCTCTTTAATTAATTAATGTGGTCCACCATACCCTTGCCTAAACTAGAGTCTTAAGCCTATTAATAAAGAGAGTAGACATTTTACTAGTCAGATTCTAATTACGAATCCTAGACCTATATATCTGTTAGGAATAAAGAAAGTAGGTCTTTACTATTCAGATTCTGATTACGATTCCTGATTCTATAAATAGGAGATTAGAAAGCAATTAGAATCCTTACCACCCATAGTTATATCACACGAAAATATCCCCAAGAGATTCTCCACCACCAAGCCTAGGGAAATCAATCAGAGGGAAATCTTAAATAAGAACCTTAATTATGCCTAGAGCCCTAGGGTATATATCGTGAATTCCGTATTATGATGTTCTTGGTATATTTGCGTGGGTTTATGCATGATCGGGTGTTGAGTCTAGCCTAGGACTTGTGTTTAGGACTTTGCATATAGATTTTTTGATGTTCCTGTGGTTTCGGATGCTCTTGAACCATTATATGTTTTATGTTGAGTCTTGGCATGTTTATGAATCGTGTTAGAACGTATTTGGTATGATTCTTGGTTTAATTCCGTTAATTGAATCCATGGTGTTGTTGTTATGTGTTTGAATGTGTCTGGACGTGGTTTCGGGTTCCACGAGCGACCCCGAGAACGAAAAGTTGCCTGTGTATCAGTGGGGGTAGGTGGGGGATGGGTGCACGCCACCTACCCGCTACCCGCATGTGCGTGTAAGTGTAGTATACAAATATAATTGGGATTACTACATACTTTAGGAACGTGTATATATATATATATATATATATATATATATATATATATATATATATATATATATATATATATATATATAGGAATATATTCAAATACAAACAGTGCTTAAAATAAAAACAGCGCGGATTCATCTGGGTCGTTGGTTTTTGATATTGGATGTACAGGATTTGTTTTTGATTAATTATGGTATCTGTTATTTCAATTGCCGCGTGACATATTTTAAGGGGGGTATTTTTGCAATTTTGTGTTTGGGTGGGCGGTTCGGTTGTATTAGAATTTTATTAGCCAACGAGCTTTTCGGGCGCTCTCTCTCCCTCGTTCACTCTCGCGTTTCAGTGTAGTCCCGAGCTCTCTTCCACGCCGTCCAACCACGCCGTCGTCATCAGCAGCCGGAGATGGTCGCCGGGAGGGTTCGCAGTGGTGCCAAGCGCCGGGGAACACCGTCTGATGGCGTACGTCGAGGTAACACTGATCCCACCTTTCCGTTTGCTTTTTTTTTTTTGCTCGCAACGTCGGGGTTGGGGTGTTTTGCATGTGGGGTTCCAGACGAGTTTGGGGGGTGTGTGGTTGCTGGGGTGCTGGTTTGGGTGGTGCACGGCGGGGTGGGGATGTTGGCAGCGCCGGCACTGGTAGGGTTTCTTTGTTTTTTTTTTTATTTTTTTTTTATTTTTATAAACTTTTAATGGGTTGGGGCTTAATCTGAGCGGAAATTAGGCCCTAATTTCGGTTCCCCTGTTTTCCCGAGTGTGGTGATTGGCGCAGGGGGGGTGTTAGTTGGGCGGTAATCGGACAGTAATGAAGTATGGGTTTCTTTCTTAGTCTGTTATGGCATGTACTGATTTGTGGAAGGAACCATGTTACCTTATCCTTGTGTTTGTAGAATTTTTATATTGTGAACTCGTATTACAGTGCTATTAAATGTAGTAATTGAGGGGTTGTGTGTGGTATTGTGTTGATGCAGGTTCACCAGTCACCGCCGGCCGAGCACCCTCAGAACCAGCCCCATGCTTACCACCATTTGAACCACCCTATTCGGCAAAAACAAAAAATAATAATAACAAGACAACAATGAGCTTAAAAAGTCAAAACAAAAGCAAAAAAACAGTTCAAAACCCACATAATGTAACCACTAAGCGGAATGCACACAAGAAACTGGCCAAACAACCTTATAAAACTAATAAAATCAAAATTGGCATAATACCCACCACATCAGAATCAAGAATGCCAATATTTGACGGGACCAAGTCCCGCAACATAGCCTCAATATCACCCCAACCACAATCCGCTATATCCTGCGTAATACCCAGACTGAAGGACGACATATCATCGGATAACGCGTCACGCTCATCCGGTTCCACGAGTTCTATGGCTTTGCCCGACTTGGACAAACCGGATGAGGGAGTGATTTGCAATTGGTTGTTGTGTGCTGCAGATGCGAACATGTTAGTTTCTGAATCTATTTTTTGCTATGCAGATTCTGTTTCGTATGGTTAGTTCATGTGTTTTTTGTTTATCTTTGTGTGTTGTAGGGATGATATATTGTTCGATGTTAGTGGTAGGGCTGCTCGATGGGGGGATTTGTTGTCACTTGCACCCGGGTCGTTGGTTGAGGTTGCCGTGGTAGATGCGTGGGCATGTCTTTTGAATTGTCGAGAGCGGTATAGGGCCCCTTCTGCCCCTTCCCGTTTTTTTGCATCCACTCTTTCTACGGTTTGTTTCTAGTCCGTACCCTTATGGTAAGGTGTTTTTTTTGTGTGGTTATGTGTTTTGATTTTGCATATTTTATTGTTCTTGAAGCTTCGTACGGTTGTGGATACCTCTCTTGATCTGGATAAGCGGATTGCTATGTTTAAGGAGAGTCTCTACGGGGAGTTTGAGATGACGCCTTACCAGCATATTAATGAAGTTGACATGGTATGTTTGGCTTTCTGCTTTTTTCAGTGTACTGTTCCTTGCCTCTATTGTTAGTTCTGTTGTGCACCCGGTGGCTGCCTTCTGTGCACTCAGCCCAGGTTTGGTTTTACTTTTTGGTGTGGGATGCTTTGCTTGTAGTCATTGTATGTCTTCACCCATTCATGGTTGTTGGTTGCAGTTTATGTTTCCCATCCTGCGCCAGGGACACTACTTTCTTCTTTGCGTCGATTTCCGTAATATCCGCTTTGAGATTATTGACAATTCGACGCTTCAGTCCAACAAGCAGTTGAAGTATGGTGATTGTCCGGATGACTTGGTAGGGTTTTTGTCAAACTTTTTGTACTCGTCTGATTGTGTGACCAGGCTTTTACTTGCTTAACTTTTTGTTATGTGTCTTTTTGTTTGGTATTCATTCGACACTTGGAATTTTGCTGTAGTTGCACATGCTTATGGAGTTCTTTAAATCCATCGACCCGACAAGGTCTACGATGTGTGAGCTTTTGGATGCGAAGCGTATGCAGATGAGCTGGCGGGATGGCAAGAACAAGATTGACTGTGGCGTGTATGTTATGCGTCATATGGAGAGTTATTTAGGTCAGGGAGTTACCAGATGGAAATGCGGGCTTACCAAAGGTAACACTGCCCAGCTCAAGAAGCTGAGGTTGCGATACATGAAGGAACTTACTACCTCCGAATTCAATTTACATAAGTGTCGAAATATCTCCAGGGCGTATCATTCCGTGAAGTCTGTATCAGGGGCTCTATAGTGGAGTTTTAGTTCGTAGTTTTTTTGGTTTTGGATTTTGGCCTCCTTGTTGCAGTTTTTAGGCCTAGTGGTGTTATTATTTTCGATGGTGATCTTATTTGCGAATCTTAATTATGGTTTGTATATGCCTGTACTGGTACATGCATTGTGCTCATGGATATTATTATTATGATTATTTTTAATGGTAGATTTAGTTCGTTATTAGCGTGTATGACAACTACTGACATCGGGGTGTGCACGGTGACGGTAGGTAGTGTGCATAGCTTGATCGGAATATTAACATCGGGGGGGGGGGGGGGGGGGGGTGCACAGTGACGGGTTGCGTTTGCACAGGATCGGCATACTAGTTGGCGGGTTGCGTTTAAGGCCAATTTATTGGAAAACTCTGTGTGCACAACGATGGTATACGGTGTGCGTAGCTGCGAGTCTTAGTTATTTTGACTAAACTGGGTGTGTGTGCAATGGTGGTAGACGGTGTGCATAGCTGCGAGTCTTGCCTACTTGACTAAACTGGGTGTGCACATTGTTATTAGATGGTGTGCGTTAGTAAAACAAATAAAGTAGTTGTCTATTGCCATACATGGTTATTAATAAAATATGTATCCAATGGGTGGTAGATAATGTGCGTAGGTGAAAAAACTAATTACAAATAATGGGTGTAAATCTAAACTTTGACAAGTATTTAATTGAAATTCCAAATGAGCTAGTATTCATAGTGATGTAAAATACAAACGGGCTACTCGTCTGGTAGGGCTTTTCTTTCTGGACAGTTCCTGCTGTCGTGCCCCGGCCGGTCACAGGTAGCGCATGTCCTCACCTTTTTCTTCCCTTTTTCAGTTGCTTTCTCTTTGTTGCTTTTTAATCTTTTCCCACTACCTTTGTTTTTTGCAACGCTTGGTGGTTTGATTTGGATCTCGGCAGGTGCAGTGGCGCTTAGTATTGATTCGATCACTGATTGTGGGGTGGTGCTTTCTCTGGTTTGTTGTCTGGCGCTTTGTAACCTCCCTTTAAGTTCTTGCATTGTTGATAACATTATATCCATTTCGGTTGGGCATCCATTAGCCAATCCCATGCAGTTGTAGAACTCATTCCAAAGTTGGTTGGCAATTGTTCGTAATTCATTCCCACCCTGTGTATTACTGCATGCTTTCCACACAACATTATACATTGGCTGCGCACACGCACTTTTAGTCCATCGGGGAACAATATAGCATCCTGGTATTTCTTCCACGCCTTCGTTCTTGAACACGGACAACACATGCCGACATAATAGTCCTACTCTGTTGAATTTGTTACAATTGCATTCTGTTTTTTTAGTAGATTCTTCGTGCGTTACCTCAAATATGTTTCTCCCCGTTTCATGAACAGTGTACTTGTAACCCCCATCATCCTTTGTCTTGCATGTGATTTTGCATGTGAAGCTTCCTTCCCATATTTCTTCCTAGAAGTCGTAGAATATGTTTTTGGTGTACATTGCAGCAGCTTGGCGTTCTATGGCCAATGGGGTTTTGGTTTCAGGGAATGAACTTTCGCCCTCGGCGTCCAGTTGTTTTTTGTGGTACCTCTGTTCTCCGATGGCGCGGTTGTATTGCATTATGAACTCTACCAAGCTGTTGTGGTGATTGGTGAATTTGCCAAAATAACTGTTCTCTGATTCTGACCGTGATGTTGTTTTGAGTAGTCCCCCCATGAATATATCTTGGAAATATGCAGGTATCCATGATGCACGGGCTTTGTACATTTGATCAAACCACCGGTGTTGAACAAGGTTGTACTCCTGCATTACCTTTGCCCATTTCAATTCGAATGCAGTTACACTTAAAGTTTCGTCCCATACTGCATTGTTCAGTGCCTTTCTAAACTCCATGTTTTGTGCTAGTGCATTCCCTACCTTGTCCCCCACTTTTTCCATGATGTGCCACATACAGAATCGGTGCCTTGTTTCCGGCATAATGTTAGGTATTGCGACCTTTAATGCAGGGTCTTGATCTGTAATAACACATCTTGGTGTATAGCCCATCGCGGTTTTGAAGTTTTTTAATAGCCACTCGTATGACTCCACGTCCTCTCTTGCAATGAGGCCTGCCCCAAATGTAATGCTCCGTTTATGGTTGTCGACTCCTGTAAACGGTACAAATACGAGCTTGTATCTGCATGTTTTATGTTGTAAAGTAATTAGTGCACACGCATATAATCGTAATAACAGCTTTACAGACAGCGATACGTAAAACAGTTACAAAATTGATGATTCCTACCACAGTTAGCGAATGTTTTTTGGAACCATGGTAGTACTGCCATGCACACAGGGATTCATACGAGTGCACACTGCACCCTTTGCCCAGTTTAACATTTAATTACAAGCACCCATACGGTTAGTGGTATTAAAAGTACCTCATGCTTATTACCCATGCATACTGTATGTAGCCGACTATCATGCTCTAGTCCAGTGGATATTCATTATAATTGTAAGTCAGTCGCGTGCAATTTAGGGGTATAGATCCCCATGCACACTTACATGCATAGTCGTGCACTCAACCTAATTGGCTCCATAACCACAGGTTCGGCCACTCCCACCCCCATTGTTAAAGAAAAATAAATGGCATGATCATACAGTTTTAAACGGCTATGTACACAAACATTTTTCTTAAATTAAATTATTTTAATTGTTGTGATGTGTACCTGTTTGTGCTGTAAGTTGCGTCGAATGACACCACATCACCAAAACATGCATAATTCTTCCGGGATATCGTGTCTGCCCAAAAAAGCCTGCATAGCTCCCTATCTTCGTTGAGATCAAAATCGAAGTAGAAGTCTGGTTCCATCTCTTTATTTTTGTACATATCTTCTACTACCATTTGTGCATCTGCTCCGGCAATATATGCCAACAAGTCCCTTCTAAAATTGCAGAAATCGGTGGATGTTGCTCCTATATCTGAAAAACTTCCAACCATTTCCTTGTATAGCCTCCATGATTTTGTGGAACCAATGTTTGCCCTTGCACAGTTTGCTACGAATATTTTGTGTCCAATATCTAGCTTCCTATTTATTTTAAGAAATGGCCTCCCTATGTCAGAGCATAGGCAGTGTGTGTGCCATAGCTCAAGTGCATGGATTATGTAGCTACCGGTTTTGTGTCTTATGAACCCGATTCGGGCGTTACAACCAACACGAGTTGATAGCCGGCGCCTTTTCTTCGGTGAGGTGGTGGTTCCTTTGTTGCTACTACTCATTTTTTTGGGCTTGTATCCTTCCCGTGAGCATAAAATATATTTTATATGGACTGCCCCTGCCCTGTTCCATCGCTTCGTCCCGTGTCGGATATCGAATCCGGTGATGGCTGCGTATGCCCCGTAGAAGTCTACTTCGTTTTCTAGTGATGCAAATTCTTGCCCAATGTATGGGGTGTTTTCGCTTTTGCAATTCGGTAACCATTGCTTCGTTCCATCGGGTAATACTACCATGTTGCACTCCGTTGCTTCGTCTCCATTGTGTTGTGCTCCTATAAGTCAGAAATGGGATTTTTGGTCAAATAATAGAACACTTGTATGCCGATGTCAACACTGTTAACGCAATGTACAATGTAAGTAAAAAATATGTGTAAGCACGTGTGTCCAAACTATGACGTCCTGTGTGCATTAAAACCTAGTTCTGGGTGCATCGCGTAACCCAGATACGGGCGTGCAGACCTCACCACATCATGCTGCCCCGTATTGTTTTTCCCCAAAATTTAGTTCACAAAATGATATGCCTACCATAGGATTGCGTGATCATGTGGATTATCATTTATTATGACACCCATTAATTAGCACTCCATTCAACAGAGTTCGCTCAAAAAATTGAATCTTGATCATGGCCCTATTCAAACGATATACGGTGTACGTACCTGGGTTCAGAGCCTCCATGGATTCCGGTATGGCGTCGAATTGAATGGGGTCAATTCTGTCGTCCACGGTCGGTTGTAATTTTGGCCGTTCGTAATTGATTTTAGTTTCGTCCGGTATGGCGTCGTAATTTTGTCCGTTCGTACACAAGGTTTCGGTGGCCGTGATGGGATGTCTTCAAATCCTACGCACTTTGAACTTCCTTGTTCGTAGCATAGCATACCAGTGAATTCTATTCCTTTTCTGATTAATATGCTTCCGTGTAAGAGGGTGGTGCATTCCCTATATTACCCTTATGTTCAGTAATTGTTAATCCGTGTGGTAGTAATCAGCATTCATCTAGTCCATTGATCTAATCACATCTTGTGGCTAGAGTATGTCCGCACGTTTGTATTTTAAGGGGGTTTGTATTGGAATGCAAGCCTATATATATATATATATATATATATATATATATATGGAAGGGATCAGGTGCATTTGTGGCTTCCCGTGCGGTTGTGCGGTAGATTAATGTGCGTGAGTTATATACTTAATGTGCGTGAGTCACGTGCTTAATGTGCCTGAGATTTGTACTTAATGTGCGTGAGTGTTTAATGTTAATGTGCATGAGTTTTGTACTTAATGTGCCTGAGTATTGTTCTTAATGTGCGTGAAGTTTGTTCTTAATGTGCGTGATTTGAGTTCAGAATTACGAGCTCAGAAGGAAGCAGAACAGAAAGAGAAGGTGGGTGAAGCTTTTCTGATTGTGTGTGAATGGATGGATATATGTAAACGCACATATGGCTGTTCTGATTTTATGTTAAAAACAAGACAAAATCCATTCCTCCACCACTTCGAAACAAAAAACAAGAAGAAAATACAGCAGTGGATGCGCATCATTTTTACAGCAGTGGATGAAGAACACACTCATGCACATTAAGCACACAATTCACTCATCTTAGGCACAAGACTCACAGACCTTAAGTACAAAACTCGCGCACATTAACATTACACACCCACGCACATTAAGTACAAATCTCAGGCACATTAAGCACAATACTCATGCACATTGAGTACAAACCTCACGCATAGTAATCAACCGCACAACCGCACGGGAACCTTACACTATATATATATATATATATATATATATATATATATATATATATATATATATATATATATATATATATATAAAAGTTTAGGATAATATGTTTAGAATAGTAGGGATATACCTATATCTGTATAAATGTTTGTTCACTCGGGGGTTTTTATCTTAATAGTCAAAAGCATCCGACAAGGCATTGGAAGCTTGTGGTCCACCATGCAACATGGACCAAAGTCTAGAAGGATAGTTTTAAATAGTTTGGGGGTCAAAATAGATTTTTCCAAAAATAATTTCTAGTTGACCACTTGCTTTAGGTTTCTCCGATTTCTCCCAGTTTCACTCAGATTGAATGTTGGGTCAAAACTTGGTACGTAATGTACCCAAAAATTTAGGATTTTAGAAATAGAATAAGTCCCGGTGTTGAATTTATTTAAAACGTAGCTCAAAATAATTAATTCAAACACCGTTTTCATCATAAAAGAGTGGAAAAACAGCTATTTTGGAGTTCTAAAACAGAGTTTTAGAAGATTTATATTTGGGGTGGTCCCATTGTCCCACTCACACTCTACCCCCCTTAAACGATGCTTCGTCCCCGAAGCATAACCGTAACGCAACAAGAGACAAGGGAGACTCGACCAATAAGGAATTTAAGAGACTCACACGAAAGTTCAACACCACAAGGATAAGATATCACATTCTCCATTCCCTAGAAATAAAGTTACGTCCCCGTAACTTTCATGCAACTTATGCAAGTCTTTAGCCAATCTATAAACAAATCAATTAGGAAAATAATCCAACCTTTATGTTCAAGTATAGATTGTTAGTTACATGTTAAACACATAAGGAATCATCAAGGAAGACACACAAGCACACAATGGATCAATAAAACGAGAAGTCAAGAAATCAACACGTCGTACCAGTGGGCGGTAGGTGGGAGGTTGACCTCCTGCCAGGGTCCTGCTGGACATGACTGTGAAGAAGGGATCACTTCGGGAAAGTTCCCAAGGATGCACACATTCAAGTCCAAACAATTCCAAACTCATATGAACAACAAAAGGGACTTCAATTCATGGAAAACCTCAAGGAATAACATTATTATGATATCAACAAGGAACACGGGAGACTTAAACGAAAGTTCAAGACATCGTAAGGATCACATGTCACATCCCCCCCCCCCCCTCCTAAGAAATAAAGCTACATTCCCACAACTTTCATGCAAACTCATGCAAGAACTTATTATCAGGCTATAAGTAAGTTAACTATCAAAATAATTGAACAATCACAATTAAGAAAGGTGAGAAATTATAGGCCGAATAAAATCACCAATCGCATGTTCCAGATTAAATAACAAATATTCAAATGACGCACATTGATCAAATAATCAAGCAATAATATGCAAGTCCCTAACAAATCGGTTAGGAAAATAATGTGACTTTCATGTTTAAGCAAATAACCAAGTACAACATTTATTAAGAAACAGAATCACCGGCATGTCACGATGAATTCTCAATAATCAAAGAATAATATGCAACAAGGCATGTAAAAGTATGCAAGGATATCAGATCATTAGAGCAAGCATCGGAAACAAAGAACAAGCATAGGAAACAAAGAACAAGCATAGGGAACTTAACAGAAAGCGGTAAATAAACTCACAATCTCACCGCGCGTCCTATCGAGCTTAACATCCTAAAGTCTTATCTTAAAGGCATTGTCCTCAAGGTCGAACTTAGGCTCTGATACCAACTGTAACACCCCTAATTTTTAAAACATTTAAAGCATATGAAATAAAGGCAAATCTATCATTATTCATCTATACAAAGCGGAACTAACAACATGAGTATCGGGGTGCTATGCCACATCTAGGTTTGAGAACCTAGATGCACAGGGTAAACTAACTAAACAATCATAACTAATATCCATAATACAATTCAAGGCTCACAGGCCATCTAAGTAATACTAAACTATCTAATCTAAGTCCTCATGTCCATTTTGCGCACTCTGAAGCTACTGATCTGTACCTGAAAAACATACGGTGTAACAACCGTCAGCGAATAATGCTGGTAACCATATATAAGAAACCATGTTGGTCCCGATAGGGTGGTGAAAGTCTAGAGGGTGGGGGGTGAATAGACTTTCAAGCTTTTTCAAAATAAATAAATAAATAACTCTTTGGTAACTTCAACTCTAAGTAACAAGTAAATAGAGTAAGTTTGAACTGCACAGCGGAATAATAGTATGTAAAGAGTTATGCCCAACCAATAATTTAAATGTGCATGTAAGATGGGTACAGATGATATGTAAAGTGACAGAGATATCTTGAATAAATAAAGGAGATGGTTCACTCAATATTTAACAATAATATTCAAGATTGTAAATAAATGCCGTGTCACGTCGACCGTGTAACGAACGTTACATGCAACACGTCAAACTTGCTTAGAATAATTCAATATTTAAGCTCGAGAAGTTTGAGTCACATGCATACGTAAAAACACACTAAACCCGAATGATTAAGATTGACTGTGAATAGTAAACGGGTTAGTCGGATAAGATAGATAGATAGAGCAAATTACGTAAATGCGGTATGTAAATGAGAGAGACAATTTATAGTGGTTCGGAAGTGGCGTAATCTTCCTAGTCCACTTTACTCCATTCACTTCTAGGAGTAATTCACTATTTTCCACACACAGTTACAATAGTGAATAAGCGCTACTCAAGCACTTCTTCCGGATGTCTTGCACATAGCTACACCTAACTTCGAGTGTCTCGCACACAGCTACACTCAACTCCGATTATTTCGCACACAGCTATACTCAACTCCGAGTATTTCGCACACAGCTATACTCAACGCCAACTAAGTGTCTTGCACACATCTATACTTAGCAACTACGAGTGTTTTGCACACAGCTACACTCACTAGAGTATTTTGCACACAACTATACTCCTTTTACAATTACAAATACAAAGATAATTGTATCTCTCTCCAACTAGTTTTGAGACAATTCAGACAAAGTCTCTAAGAATATTTGAGCACTTGCACTTCTTATCTCGTGTGAATTCACTTGATCGTATTTTTTGTATTCACCTTTGTCTCTTTTTGTCTTCAAGTCTTCATGGCTTTTTATTGGCAATCAAATATATCCATTGGAGTGGGATAATGTGATATTTGAAATTTGAATCTTCATAGCCTGATATTGTTGACAATAGTAGATATTCAATTTTGATTTGATTGTCAACTTGCCTGACAAAAAAAATATTTTATCTCAACTTGATTTTCAAGTTGTTTCTTAAAATATTATTTTTGTTGTCAATTTGAATTTCCAACGAATCTTTGAAATAAATTCTTCTGATAAAATTTATTTCTAGGATAAGTTTTTATATTCATGTCTTCATAAATATTTTTCCGTTCTGATCAAATATCTTCAGGCAATTTTGGATTGTTGTGGCATGTGGGCTGATCCAAAATAAATTCCTTCGAATTTATTCATTTTCTGAACATCTTGCTTCTTTGCCACATTGTGCTCCTTTGACTTTGACACTTCTTGCTTGTTTGACTTGAACATTGTGCTTCTGATTTGGTCACATTGTGCTCCTTTGGATACATCGTGCTTGTTCACATTGTGCTCCTTGGAACATTGTGCTCCTTTTCAGACATTGTGCTCCTTTGGAACATTGTGCTTGTCCGCATCGTGCTCCTTTGAGAACATTGTGTTCCTTTTCAGACATTGTCCTCCTTTGGAACATTGTGCTTGTCCGCATCGTGCTCCTTTAAGAACATTGTGCTTGTCTGAATTCTTGACTTGGAAAAAATAAATCTTTGGGGGGAATCCATCTTGGGTATAATCGTTTTGAGTAAGGACTTCTACCATTTCGCCGTTAGGCTCATCCGATCATTTCTTGCAACGCCTTTCCTTTATGCTTCTTTCTCGGATGAATACTTGTAGGACCAAAATTAATTTCCCAAATTAATTTTGTTCTTCATGTGGTAGATTTCCTTTGACTCGATATTCTGATTTATGATGCTTATACTAGAGACCTAAAAACTAAGGGGATCTATAGTATATTTGGCTCATCAAAACTTACAAAAATACTCCTATAAATTTTCTCCCTTTTTGATGACGCCAAAACCTATACTCAGTCATTTGGCTTGTCTTTTAAAAACAATTATTTTTCAAAAGATTTTATTAATTTTTGACATAGCCATGATGAGTTTAACATTTGATTTTGACTCTAGGAAAGGTATTTTTAGCAACTATGTTCCTATTCGCATTTTTGGACTTAATGATAACGAAATTTTGTAATTTTCCAATTTATGCGATTTGTTACAATCTAAGCTAAAAATTATTACCTTTCAAGACAAATAACAATAGATAAAAAAGGAAAACTTAATAGCATCATAAACAGATAATTCAAATCATTTCAAAGTGTTCCATGATCATGAGTTCAAGTTCGTGGACCATACAAAAAAAAATTGTGACAATCATACAAATCACTTGATGATCCTGTTTCTCCTTTCTTCTAGCACATGATTAATATGATTTTGAACTTCAATGAAATTGTCACTAATGGCATAATTGTTGCATACCTGCCCAATCACATAATAGTTGAATGCTTCAATGATGTTGTCCCCGGGCAGTATTCTTTCTTCATACCATATGATGCACTCTTCCAGACTTCTATCACCTTGAAGCTCGGCATCATTAACTTTGATATAGTCTTTAAGAACTATGACCATCAAAGCTCTAGCATAGCTTTTGATCCTCCTGAAGTTCTCATTCGAAACCCACAAGTTTTGGTCACTTTGACCACTTTTCTTCATTCCCTTTGGTAGGTCATTCAAGGTTGCCAATCTTGGCGTTTCAACTCTACCATCTCTAGGTGTGGATTCCAAATAGAGAGCTGCTTTGTTGTACCAATTGATTTGCTCAATATTTCCACCTGCACAAACAATATCACGAAATGATCGGTTAGTGGTATTTGCACTGCTTGATCCTCCTGGACTGCCAGCATCACCACCGAACCAGTATTCCATTCCTCCTCTTCTTGCTATATTGCTTCTGCCAACAGATCTGCCTCCTCCTCCTCTACTGCTGCTTGTACCAACATTTCTGGTAGTCATGGCAGTTATAATCATTTCCAGCATGCCTTCCAAATGACTGAATCTCTCTTCCCCCTTTTTGGCGTAATCAATGAGTGTCAAAACTGACTCACAAAGAGATGAAACAAATTCGGATATGTTCTCATATGATCCTCGTAGACAACCTACTTTGGTGTTGATGGAGATGAGATTTGTGTGGACATCACCAATCTGCTTCTCATGTTGATGAACCACATTAAGAATTCCTTGACTTTGATTCACGGCAATTGCTTCATTGGCTTTTCCGGCATTTTTGAGGATTTGAGATAGTTGGATGTAGAACTCATTGAGTTTCCCTTTGACATTTGTATTCAATCCACCAACTTGTCTCTCAAGTGCTTGATGTGTGTCAATCAAGTGTTGTTGACTCCTCCGGTTTTCATCAAATGCGGTTTCGAATTTTCCTCCTTGAGTATTGACAACATTATCCACATGAGTGTAGATACCTTGAATCATACTCTCCATTCAGTCAACTAGGCTTAGTAAAACATTTTCCAGATTTTTTAGTCTTTCATTTGAGGTTGTGCCATCAAGGTTTTGCTTTTCTTGGGTTGCGGGAATACACCTTGCTCCTTCTTGAGCAGTATTATCTCCAAGCATGTGAGATTGTGCTTGATTTTCTAGTAAATTCCCTTCTCTTTCTGGCATGTGTAACACGTGTGTGTCACCTTGCATACTTTCTGCATGAATTGATTGAATTTCCTCCATATGGTGGCTGACTTGCATGGCATGATGTTCTTGGCTAATTTCTGTTTGATTCAACACACTAACATCATATAGACCACTGTCCATCAAATGTACACCAAGTGTGACATTTTCTTCTTCTTCGTTTCTTGTAACCTCAATAGGTTGAACCAACTCATCAATGTCAACTAAGAAATCATCTTCAGTTGGCATGTTTCCTTGGACTGTGTTATCATGAAAAGTCTCGGCCAACTTGTCTTTCAGTTTGCTCACAAATATTCCATTTACGGTAGAAATCAATGTTACATGGCCAACATCTAAACTGCCAATCCAATTCAAAGAAAATGCTTCTTCTTCTTTCATACTTGGTCCTCTTGTCATCAACTCTCGATAAGAGCCAAGTCTCCAATTTCTCCAATTTAGAACTCTTTGATATTCATTAACCAATGTTAAATCAAGTCCATCAACTTGATATATCTCCTCATTTATCAATGTCTCCAATTCGGCGATTCGGGATAAAGGGTTCAAGATACTTTGGCTTGTGTTGGGATTAAAGTTTGATGTGGGATTGTGACTCATGGTGGGACTTTGGCTTGAATTTGGATTTTGGCTTGAATTTGGTTCGTGACTAGAGATTGGATTTTCAAGGGGTTGGATTGAGGGTTGAGGGTTTAAGCCAAGGAGTTCTGCTACTGGCCTTTTCCTAGCAGGAATACCTCTCGGTTTTCTCTTTCTTTTGGAATTTAACTCGGTTGACACTTCATGATCTTTAAATAAAATCCGGTTGTTTCCAAATGGCTTTCTAGACCTCATTGGCAATCCTTTCGTTTTGATAATTTCACCAATAACTCAATAAGTAAGCCGAACCCTAGAATGTGGTTGAACTTGCCATTCCTAATCTTTGCACTTTTCACAAAATGTGCAATCCGACTCAAAATAAGCTTAATCCAGTCACCCCTAACATCATTCATCAAGATATGCAAATATCCAATTCTCACAGGTGATATATCCTCCATACTATTCAGTTTGCATAATACACATTTGTAGATGATTTTGACTAGCATTTCATACTCTAGCTTCAAATCAGATTTGTGAGCGGAAAGGTTGGGTTCGAGAGATGCATTCTCATTTCGAATTCCTGCCCAAACTTCCGTGTGATCATATGTGTATATATCTAGGTCCAACAGTGGTTGTTCTGGACTAGATATAGGAAGTCCAAAAGTTGAATGCAACTCTTGATCATCAATGGTGATGAGAGTTCCATTTACGGTGGACTCAATGGTCCATCCGACAACTTTGGCATTCACATAAAAATCTGCTACATCTATATCATAAAATCCTGAGTATGGATAAGAACATAACCTCATAAGATTTCTACTTTGAAGTGCATGGATGATTCTTTGTGCTAGTTCGGAGTTCTTGGCCTCCTTGAGAAATCCGTGGGGGTCAAAACTTCCTCCGGCCTTGATTCCAACTACTAGCTTGGCAAGATTGAGTTGTGTAGAGTGTTCTTCATTCGGTTGAGAGCTTGAATCTCCAATGGCAACCATAATGTGTTTGGTATTTTTGGATTGAGATTGAGAGAGATGAAGCTTGAGAGGTTTCTGCTATGGAAGGTGTAAGGTTTTTGGAGAATTTGAGTGGAAAGGTGGCTTTTCGACCGGTTGGGTGAAAAAGGAGGTGCATTTACAAAAATATCCTCACATTTGAATTTTGACTTTTAATAGTTGAGGGGTATTTTTGATATTCCAAGAGTCTCCAACCTTTGACCTAACTGATAGTTAGTTTAGATTATATATTCTCCATCCAATTTGTCTGCTGATGTGGCGCCAAAAATTTAGATACTCGGACTGATTTTACCTGAAATAAAATTCATAGAGCACTAAATCTGTTCCGAAAATAATATGTGTATGTACATATATACACGTTTTATGTAGTTGGAAGAAAGAAAAAGAAATTGATTCTTTTTAGATCATTTATTATGAGCAACTACCATAAAAGATGTTCTCATTTAAGATAAACTCATCATCATACCATCTTGTCAACTCTTAAATGGTAAGATTTTGTAAATCTAAATGAATTTTTATTTGTGCATATATAAATAAATAGATACACGGTTAGAGAGACATACATGCAATATATGCTTTTTCAATATTTAATTGAGATAGGTAGACTAAAATGTTAAGATGTGACATTTTTGCGTGAGAGACACATAGGAACGAAACTAATTAAATCAGATAAAGTAACGAAGTTTTTAGATGAAAAACTGAGCTTTTAATTTAAATAGAGTTTAGAAACTTAGCTCAATTCAATCATGCCCATCTCGTGTCTTAATTTTGAAAATCTTGATTCACACAGAGGTTTTGTAAGAATATCAGCTATTTGATCTTCGGTCGGGATGTATTCTATTTTTAATTCCTTCTTTTCGACATGATCCCGGATAAAATGATGTCTCACATCAATGTGTTTTGTTCTTGAATGTAACACGGGATTGTGTGTTATGGCTATGGAACTTGTATTGTCACACAATATGTTGACATTTTCACAATTCACGCCATAATCTTTCAGTTGTTGTTTCATCCAAAGAATTTGCGCACAACAACTCCCGGCGGCTATATATTCAGCTTCGGTTGTACTTGTAGCTATGGAGTTTTGCTTTTTGCTAAACCATGATACCAATCTTCCCCCTAAGAACTAGCATGTCCCTGAGGTACTTTTTCGATCGATTTTACATCCTGCAAAATCTGCATCTGAGAAACCAGTTAGTGTAAAATTACCTTCTTTGTGATACCATAATCCCACATTGACTGTTCCTTTTAGGTATCGGATGATTTTCTTGGTAGCTAGAAAATGGCTTTCTTTTGGCTTTAACTAGAACCTGGCACATACTCCCACTGAATAAGATATATCCGGTCGGCTTGCAGTGAGGTATAGTAATGATCCAATCATTCCTCGATATTTTGTTTCATCAACGTCCTTGCCTTCATCATCTTTATCTAATCTTAAAGATGTGCTCATCGGGATCTTGATTGAGGATTTTCCATCTTGACCGAATTTCTTTATAAGATCTTTTGTGTATTTGGCCTGATTGGTGAATATTCCTTCGTTGAGTTGTTTTACTTGTAAGCCAAGAAAGTAATTCAACTCTCCCATCATGCTCATCTCGAACTTATTCTGCATTAGCTTGGAAAATTTCTCACATAAAGTTTTGTTAGTACTACCGAAGATAATATCATCAACATAAATTTGTACCAATAAAATGTGATCATTTTCTTGAATTCTAAACAAGGTTTTATCAACAAGGCCTTTTGTGAAACCACAGTTAATTAGAAATGTTGATAGGGTGTCGTACCAAGCTCTCGATGCTTGTTTTAACCCATATAACGCCTTCTTTAATCTGTAGACCTTATTAATATCACCTTTTACCTCGAAACCGGGTGTTTGTTCAACGTAGACTTCTTCTTCAAGTAAGCCATTTAGAAATGCACTTTTCACGTCCATTTGATAGACAGTGAAATTCTTGTATGCGGCATAAGCTAGAAATATTCTGATGGCTTCTAGTCTTGCAACAGGTGCAAATGTTTCATCGAAGTCTATGCCTTCTTCTTGTGAATATCCTTTTGCAACTAATCGTGCTTTGTTTCGAACGACGATTCCATCGTCATTTGCCTTATTCCGAAAGACCCACTTTGTTCCAATTACATTGTAATCTTCAGGTCTTGGAACTAATTCCCATACGTCACTTCTTTTAAATTGATCAAGTTCCTCTTGCATTGCATTAATCCAATCTGGATCACTTAGAGCTTCTTCAATGCTTGTGGGCTCCACCTGAAAAAGAAAACAAGAAAATAAAGTATCTATATATGAGGACCTTGTTCTTACTCCTTCTCGTGGATCTCCAATCACTAGCTCTAGAGGGTGATTTTTGAGCCATCTCAAGTCAGGTTGTAAGTTGCATGGGTTTTCCATGTTTCCTTGCTCAGTAGGTAAGTTGGATGTAGACACATTTTGCTCATCAGATAGTTCTCCAACTTGTGTTTCAACTTGAGAATTTTGATTTTCCACGTGGGGATCTTTATTAGCTTCCACGTGTCCTTCATTATTGCAATCAATGTCCAATTGCCCCATACCTTGTACAACTTGATCTTTAAAAGATATGTCAGTATCATTAAATGATTTTTCAACTTGACAACTTTCCTGATCATTTTTGTTGCTCTGGGTTTCCTTCTTATGAGCTTCATCAAATGTAACATGAATTGATTCTTCTACCACCATTGATTTCTTGTTCAATACTCTGAATGCTTTGCTGGTAGATGAATATCCCAAAAATATTCCTTCATCTGCACGCTCATCAAAAATCTTTAGATATGTTTTACCATTATTAAGAATAAAACATTTGATGCCAAAAGTATGAAAATAGTTGAGTTTAGGTTTTCTCCCTTTCCATAATTCGTACGGAGTCTTATTGTAAGACTTGTGTATCAAGCTTCGATTTTGCGTATAGCAAGCGGTGTTGATTGCTTCAGACCAATATCTTTTAGGTAGCTCGGCTGATGTAATCATCACTCGTGCGGTTTCTTTTAGCGTTCTATTTCTTCTTTCGGCTACACCATTTTGTTGAGGTGTACGTGCGGCAGATAATTGATGTAGAATTCCTTGAGAATTGCAGTAGCCTTCAATTACTTGATTCACGAACTCAGTTCTACGATCAGTTCGGATTTTTGCAATTTTCAAGTCTTTCTCATTTTGTAGTAGCTTAAGTAATTTTGGCAACTTTTGCTCCACTTGATTTTTCTTCTTGAGAAATATCATCCATGTATACCTGGAAAAATCATCAACAACAACTAGTGTATATTTCTACCACTTAGACTTATTGGATCTACTGGACCGAATAGATCCATGTGTAGTAGACTTAG